AATTGGGTTGACAATGATGCATGTTAGAATTGATTTTGTTGAGTTATATTGGGAGTGTATTACGCTAATTAATATTATTTTCGTTATTAGACAGCTGGACATACCTATTTTTAAGGCGATTGTCGTTACTGTATTCATGAATACATGGCGCGAATACATGTGAATACATGCGCGTACAACTGGACTACTCTAATTTTAGGCGCTTTTTGCGGCTCTATTCATGAATACAACAGCACTAATACAATGAATACACTACCGTAACAACTGAATAATAGCTATAGAAAGTAATTATGTATATGGTAGCTATAAGAAGTTAATAGCCACTAAACAATAGTGATTTCTGAAAATTCCTCACTTAGAAACCACCAACTACTCCCACTTCCTCCATTCCTCATCCTCACGATCAGTTTTAAAACTAACTGAATTTCTCCTCTTGCATATTAGATTAACAAATGTATAGTTCCCCTTTTACTCTCATCGAAAAATTTGCCGGGAAAAATTGCACCCCAAAATCATTCTCTGTGATTTTTCATTGTTAAATTATTATGTCATAGTGCAGAAGTCAGAGATGGCCAATCAGTAAATTGCTAAGCGCTTGATGTAGGAAAAGGAGAAAGTTAGAACAATTCTTTCTTCTTGATATGCTAATGTTCTGTACAATGTGTATCTTTATATAAGTATTTGAAAGACAAGAAAGGACAACTGTAACTATATTTAATTAGAAGTCCCTAATTCCTATATATTTGCCCATAATCACGTGTATTTGCCCATAACTCTAGTTGTAACTTGCATTTGGATAACAAAGTTCTGGAAGGTTTTAGTATCTTTCAGCTATATCTAATATGCTATATTGAAAATGGACCAGATTTGGGCTGCAGTAATAGGCCCAGTTCTTTATTTGTGTTGGGTTGCTGATTTATGTTTTGTGTGTTTGGCCCAAATATGTGTTGTGTCTGATAGGCCCATGTATGATAGGGTATGATCTTTTATTTTCTAGATCATTCGACAGACCACTTGGTGCTTTCTCTTTCTTCGTTTTCGACTGTATCGCCTCCTTCTTCCCCACTTCAGAGTTTAGGTTGTGTGAAGAAGATTCTGGTCCAACACCCCCCTCAAGTTGGAGGGGTGAGAGAGCACACCCAACTTGGAAATGATTGAGCAGTGTAAAGGTCCGAAAAGAGGTTTAGTAAACACATCTGCGAGCTGAGATGTCGAAGGAACAAACGATAAAGATATCAAGCCGGCGAGGAACTGTTGACGGACGAAGTGACAATCAATTTCTACATGCTTCGTCCGTTCGTGGAAAACTGAGTTTTTTGCTATGTGAATAGCCGCCTGGCTATCATAATGAAGAGAAACCGGCAAAGAGGGGGGAACTGAGAGGTCTGTGAGAAGGCGTACAAGCCATGTGAGTTCTGCAACGACCTTCTTCATAGATCGGTACTCGGCCTCTGTAGAAGATAGAGAGAGTGAAGATTGTTTCTTTGATTTCCATGAAACAGGGGATCCTTCGAGGTTGATGTAAAATTCACTTACTGAGCGGCGTGTCTCCGGATAGGACCCCCAATCTCAGTCACAAAAGGCGAGCAATTGAAAAGAGGGGTCTGAATTCATAAAGAGCCTAAGTCCCGGCAAAGATAGCAAATATCAGAGACATCGTAAAGCAGCATCAAAATGAGGTCGACGCGGACTTTGCATATATTGGCTCAGATGTTAAAAGGCGAATGAAATGTCAGGTCGAGTATGGGTTAAAAAATTGAGCTTGCCCAATAGTCGCTTGTAGATTGTTGGATCATGAAGAGGCTCACCAACATCGGCACGAAGCTTGTAACTAGGGTCTAAAGGAGATGAAGCTGGACGTGAATCAAGGACACCAAATTCAGAAAGAAGGTCCAAAGTGAACTTCCTCTGACTGATAATTAGTCCATGTTTTTCTCGTAATATTTCCATTCCGAGAAAATAACTAGCCTCTCCAAGATCTTTAACTTTGAATTTTGAGTTGAGAAATGCTTTTAGACTAGAAAGCTCTGTAAGATCATCACCCGTTAGAAGTATGTCATCTACATAAACAACAACAATAGAAATTCCAGAAGCTGTCTTTTTGAAAAATAAGGAATAGTCGTTAAGAGAATGGGAATAACCTTTGAAGTTGAGGGCACCAGTAAGTCTTGCGTACCACTGACGTGAAGCCTGTTTAAGTCCATATAAGGACCTTTTTAGTCTGCAAACATGGTTAATGGAGGGTGAAGTTATTCCTGGTGGAAATCTCATGTATACCTCTTCCTGTAGATCACTATGAAGAAAGGCGTTATTGACATCTAATTGAAATAATTTCCAATTCATTTTGACTGTGACTGCTAAAATGCATCTAACAATGGTCATTTTGACTACTGGACTGAAAGTCTCATTGTAATCGATTCCTTCCCTTTGTACGTCCCCTCGGATAACTAGTCGAGCCTTGAACCTTTCAATACTACCATCAGATATATACTTAACCTTATAGACCCATTTATATGGTAAAGGTTTCTTTCCTTTTGGTAAATCAACCATTTTCCAGGTTTGGTTGGCCTCCAAGGCTTGAAGTTCTATAGTCATTGCATCCTACCAACAGGGATGTAAAACTGCCTGGGAGAAGCTTGTAGGTTCAATGATGTGAGAAATAGAGGTGAGAAGTGATTGATTTGTAGGAGAAAGGTCTGTGAAAGGTATGTTAGTAGGTGAGACTGGTGCTGCAAAACACAAATCTGTTAGAGCAGTCAAGTACACAGCATTGCACACATAATCTGCCAGATAAGATGGTGGATTGTGGTCCCTAGTGGATCTCCTTAGTGTAGGTTGAAGGGGAATAGGAGATGGAGAGGAAGTGATCCTGGAGATATGAGATAAAGTAAGAGTTGTTCTAGGTGATACTATTAAAGGAGGGAGAGTAGGACTGAATTCTGAAGAAGAAGGGTGATTAGTCTGGAGGAAAGAGTGTGTTTGGTCGGTTATAGTGGAAACTTCTTTAGGGAAAATGGATGGTTCAGGTGTAGGAGAAGAAAAAAGGAATATATCCTCATAAAAAAATTACATTTCGAGAAATGAAAATTGTTCTAGATTGAAGATCTAATAGTTTGTATCCTTTCTTCCCAAAGGGATATCCTAGAAATGCACATTTGACTGATCTAGATTGAAGTTTTGATCTGTGATGAGGTAAAGTAGAAGCATAACATAGGCAAACAAAATATTTCAAAGAATCATAAGATGGATGTTTTCCAAAAAAGGACTTCAAAAGGTGTTTTGAAATTAAGCACTCTATAAGAAAATCTATTAATTAAAAAGGTAGCAGTTAACAAACAATCACCCCAATACATAGTAGGGAGAGCAGACTGAAATAATAGAGCCCTACATGTCTCTAGAAGATGTTTATATTTTCGTTCAACCACTCTATTTTATTGTGGGGTAGCAACACAAGAAGTTTGATGAAGGATTCCATTAGAGGAGAAAATTTTTGAAAAAAATGGATGCTGATCCTAATTCCAAAGCATTATCTGAACGAATGATTTTAACTTTTCTTGCAAACTGCCTTTCCACCATTGTTATGAAAGATTGCAAGACTGGAAAAGCATTGTTTTTTGTTCTTAGAAGATAAGTCCAGGTTCCTCTACTATAGTCATCTACTATGGTCAAGAAGTATCTATAATTATCATGAGTTGGTACCTTGTAGGGTCCCCATGTATTAACATGAATAAGTTGAAAAATTGAACTTGTGTTGATATTGCTTGAATGAAATGATAATTTTGTCTGCCTAGCTTGAGAACATATATCACAAGGAACATTAAACTTGGTTAGAGAAGAAAACTGAAAACTGGATATATTTTGCATACTAGATAGAGGCATATGCCCAACCTTTTGTGCCATAGGCTTACATTAGAACTGACTCTAGCAGAACAAGAAACTAAATGCGAGACAAGATCTTTCCTAAGGTTATTACAAGCTGGATAAGACTGAAAAACTGATGGACTTCCATAAGCTAGTCCAAAACTTAGAGAAGCTGGATTAAGTAGATATAGGCCTTCCTTAACTTCACCAATTATCACTGGCCTCTTAAGTGAAGGCCCCTGTAAGAATGTACCAAAAGATGAGAAAATCAAGGTACATATGAGTTGTTGAGTGAGTTTGTGAACTGAAATTAGATTAAATCTGAAATCTGGAATATATAACACATTGTGTAGGGTTAAATCTGGCAGAACATGCACATTACCAACCTGACCGACCTTAACTTTGTATGAATTTGGGAGATTAACATACAGAGATTTGGTTAGAGATTTCACATTGAATAAAGTGGAATATTCAAAAGTCATATGTTCTGAAACCCCTGAATCTATTATCCAGGAGGTATAATTCTTGTAAGGGAAACATGAAAGACAATATAGGTTAGGAACAGTGATTGTTTTACCAGCACAGTTGGCACTAGCATTTGCATCAGAAATTTGCTCACCCTGTTGGCCAACCTTCACATGTTGAAGAAGTTGGTAGATCTGATTTAGCTGCTCTTGAGTGTTGACTTTGTCTGCTGCATGCCCCTCCAATATGTTGACTGATTGGGTTGTGTTTTCTGCATTCATGATTGCTGCATTGTTGTGAGGACATGCTTGATACCTTTTGGATTTGGTGAACTTGAAAGTTGAGGGAAACCCAATGATTCTATAGCATTTGTCAATGGAATGTCCAGGTTTATTGCAATAGTTACATATTAGGTTATGCTTCTTTCCTTCAAGAGTGGTTTTGAACTTTCCTTCTCCAGTAGCATATTTCTGAAAAGTGGTTTGCTGATTTTGTACCAGGAAAGCAGTCTTGACTGGGTGTTGTGCAACATGAATTTTCCTTTGCTTCTCATCTTGAATGAGAAAAGAGTAGGCTTTATTGACACTAGGAAGATGAGTAATCATCAGAATGTTACTCCTCACAGCAGAGTAGGCATCGTTAAGCCCCATGAGAAATTGGATGAGCCTACCATCTTAAAGGGATTTGAAAGTTCTGGACTTGCCTCCATAATTACACTCACAGGTGCAGTGCACACAAGTATTCAAGGTATCTAACTTATCCCAAATCCTTTTTACCTTTGTATAATATCCTGCCACATCAGAGGTGCCTTGCACTAGATCACTCAACTCCTTTTGTAACTGGTAAAGTTGAGCACCATTGCATTGTCCAAATCTGACCTCAAACTCTCTCCAAATGTCATTTGCAGTTTTAGAATAAAGGACACTTTCAGCTATGTCCTTAGACAAAGAGTTCAAAAGCCATGATATAACGATATCATTGCAACGATTCCACTGCTTGAAGTTAGTGGAAGAGGCATGAGGTACAGAATAAGTTCCTTCGATAAAACTAAGTTTATTCTTGGAAGAGAGTGCAATGACTATGCCTCTACGCCATCCTCCATATCCCTTTCCATCAAAAGGTGAGTTGACAAGAACCATGCCTGGTGAGTCAGATGGATGAAGATAATAGGGATGAGAGGAATCGATAAGCATAATAGTGCGTTCAGAAACTGTGTGAGCTGCAGAAACATTGGAGGAGTCATCTGTGAAATTTGTTGCCATTTGAAAAGAGAAAGAGAAATGGTAACTGGAAAAAAAATACAAATTAAAGTTTCAGATAGCTACTGCTCTGATACCATGTAGGAAAAGGAGAAAGTTAGAACGATTCTTTCTTCTTGATATGCTAATGTTCTGTACAATGTGTATGTTTATACAAATATTTGAAAGACAAGAAAGGACAACTACAACTATATTTAATTAGAAGTCCCTAATTCCTATATGTTTGCCCATAATCACGTGTATTTGCCCATAACTCTAGTTGTAACTTGCATTTGGATAACAAAGTTCTAGAAGGTTTTAGTATCTTTCAGCTATATCCAATATGCTATATTGAAAATGGACCGAATTTGGGCTGCAGTAATAGGCCCAGTTCTTTATTTGTATTGGGCTGCTGATTTATGTTTTGTGTGTTTGGCCCAAATGTGTGTTGTGTCTGATAGGCCCATGTATGATAGGGTATGATCTTTTATTTTCTAGATTATTCGACAGACCACTTGGTGCTTTCTCTTTCTTCGTCTTCGACTGTATCGCCTCATTCTTCCCCACTTCGGAGTTTAGGTTATGTGAAGAAGATTCTGGTCCAACACTTGATCATTCTGCAATTATGCATCTCAGGTACAATATTCCCTTATGTTTTTACTATTTTTTTAATATATATATATATATATATATATATATATATCCTGACCATCTACACGTTTTTAACTCAAAGTAGGAATTGGACGGTGAGACTGAACTTTGAATCATGTTGTGACAAAATTATGCAAGGACAATTTACTTTCATTTACATATTAAAGTAAAAGATACTAATAAGTCATAACACTATTACGGGGCAATTCAATCAATAGAAAAGCTAAATTTATTTTTCTGACGTCAAACATAATTATGTAGTCAAGTTTGAAGTCGAACGACATAACGAGTCTAAGTTTATAGAAGCTTTCGACACTTTTAATTGGCATAGCATTGCAAGTGTAATTGACGCTATAAAGCAAGGATGCTCAATCATTTTGACAACATATTCTATGGAGAAAGTTAATATCACTAGATTTATGACATGTAATAAATAAACTTTTTTGTTTAACCTTTGAACTAATTCAACATCATCCATTTAGAAGAACAATACAATAATATTTCTATTGTAGATAAACACTAAATGAAAAAAATTAAAATATTGTAGAACAAAAATTATTGTATAAAGAGGAGAATAGATACAATGTGATTCTATCTACATTTTAAATGTACTTGATATAATTAAGTAAACAAATAATACTCAAAAATTGTATTGATAATTTACATATCGAAATAATTATGAGAAAGTCATACAAGATAAAGTAAAGGTAAATTTCAAAAGTAATACAAAATTATATGTGTTAAATTATATTAAATTGGTACTTTACTAAAAATTCAGATGAAAATTTAATAATATTAAGTAATGGATAATACAATTAGATAAATAAGAAACAAAAAAATATAAATTTTTGGAAAAATATAAGACTTATAATTAGAATTATGATGAGAAAAGTCGTACCTATACACATAACTAAAATTATAATAAATAAATAATTTAAAAAAATTAAGTGATAGCATAAAAATGTATATACTAATTAAATTTCTCATGTAGGAAATTTTAGTTAATAAATAAAACTTATAATTTCATAATGAAAAATTTAAAAATCTAAAGATATTATTAGGATATTTATATATAAGATAAGTATATTATATATATAACACAAAATAATAATAATTAAAAATATTGGTATAAAGACATGTAGTAGTTTTAAGACAAAATTAGTGTATAAAGAGGAGAATATATATAATGTGATTCTATCCACATTTTAAATGTATTTGATATAATTAAGTATACAAATAATACTCGGAAATAATATTGATAATTTATATATTGAAATAATTATGACAAAGTCATACAAGATAAAGTAAAGTTAAATTTTAAAAATAATATAAAATTATATTTATTAAATTATATTAAACTGATAATTTACTAAAAGTTAGATGAAAATTTAATAATATTAAGCAATGGATAATACAATTACATAAGCAAGAAACAAAATAATTCATAATGAAAAGTACAAAATATAAAGATATTATTAGGATATATNAGACAAAATTAGTTAGCCTAGCTAATAATTAGTTACTTTATTTGAATTTAAATTAAAATAATTAAATATTTATATATTTTTAACGAAAATATTATAAGAATAAGGAAAATATATACATAAATAAATTATATAGTATTACGTACTTGCTAATTTAATTTTAAAATAAGGAACAAATAATTTATTATATAGTACAAAATACTTGTTAATTTAATAAAAAATAAATAAGTAACATATAATAATTTAATTACTATATAATGTGTATTCTTTGATTTTATATAAATTTTATTATATTTTTTTACACTATGTTAAAAAATAAAATAATAACTAATATTTATTAAAACAAAATAATATCTTAGATATAAGATTAATATTCTGTTAATCATAACACAGGGCTCAGTTTTACGGCACACGTGTAATGCATATATGCAAACCACAGCATATTACCATAGATCCACTCCACGATACTTTTCCCCAAACAATAAAATATAAACACCGAAAAAGAGAAAAAAACCAGAACAGTTAATAGTAAACAGCTTCAATTGCAGAAAGAGACCGCAGAGGAAAAATGGATTTGTTACCGGCAGAATCGTCACAGATTCTACCGAAGAAACACAGATTTCGTTCGTTGAAGCTTGTAAATGTGAATATGGACGAAGCTTTATCGGAAACGCCGCAAGGAGTGGAGTACGGGAAGCTTGAAAATGGGCTAACTTATTATGTCCGATCCAATTCTAAGCCCAAAATGAGAGCTGCACTTGCACTCGCTGTTAAAGCTGGGTATGTGCCCTATTTTTCAAATACCTTTATGTTGTTAATTAATTTGCTTAATATTTTTTTAGCTTGTTCTTACAATAGAGGGATACTGTTGATGCGCTGTAACTGATTTATGATTTGACTGGTTGTTTTACTCAATGTGGAATGTGGGAGATGCGTACGACTTGAAAATTGAACAATTGTCTACACGAAATTAAGCGGAGCTAGCAATCCCTACCCCAATGAACAATATTAGATTGGATTAAGTTATGCAAACTGACACTGTAAATAATATACTATGGAGTCGTTTGGTTCACTTACATACGCGGGGATTATAACACAGGCATTGTCTATGCTGTGACTAATAATGCAGAGATTGTTATGCGGTAATTAATTATGAAGGGATGGTTATATATGAATTACTTACTTTAGAAGGACGTTTTTGTCTTTAAATAATTTGACCCCTACATTGCTAATATACATATTCTTATTCAACATTCGCTCCCGCATAAAATGATACCTAGATTCCCACATAACTTAATATGGATACTATTTAATACCATCAACCAAACTCTGCATTAGAGTTATATGGAGATTATTATTTTTTATGCGGCCACCCAAACACTATGTATGCAGCCACCCAAACACTATGTTATCTTATGCAGAAGTTTATGGTGGGATTGATTATTCCAATACATCAACCAAACTACTTCTATCCGTGTATCAGTATAGTGTAATTAACATGTTATAGCATGTTAATTACTGCATTTTATAAATCTAGTAACACAATAATGGTAAAATCATTTGCACATTCAGTGTACAGAAAGTAAACCTTGTTAAGTCTTGCTATTTCAGGAGAGCATAAAGCTAACTGCTTTTATTGCTTTGAGACTCTTTCAACCAAGATAAAACCGGAAGGAGCTTTCGATCTATATATGTCACGAGTAAGGGGTAGTGCAACTAATCCATAATGGCATATGAGAAGTTATAGTTCTTGGTAAATTAGCTACAGATAATGGTTAAAAAGGAATGCTAGTACTTTGCAGCTTGCTTGATTGTTTACTCAACCATTTTGTATCACTCTTGCACAGGAGACCTCTCTGATTGTCAAATCGCCTGCATATCATGCTACATAAAGAAAAACTCGACCAAGTATCACCAAGAAGTTGCATAGTCAAAATTGACCCAAAAATTCCTTTCCAATTTGCAAACTTCCAATTCTTTGTGCAGTCTTGCAAATATTAACACCAATCTGACCCTCGGGGATTTCTCGGTTATCAAAATATAAAAGTTAAACCCAGTCTGGTGTTTCTGTATGCTGTATTGGCTGCCACCACTAGGCTGTGTTTTTTTTTTCTAATTTCGGACAGCAATGTGCAAGCATAGAGTGATTCGGCTGAAAATTAGGGTAGAAAATTGTGTTATCACGTTCAATTATTTGAAAGTAAATTTGTGTGCTGTTAAATTTTTGAAGTGCTATTTGTGATATACTCTATGACTAGGATACACCTAGATGCATTGGCTTGTTTAATGAATAATCTCTATCCTTTAATAATGTCTTTGAGGTATCGTGTTCGTCACTGATGAGAAAGAAATCATATAAATTAAAAAAAATATATAATAAGGCAGTTGAACTGCATATCTTTTCATTCTTGTCACTTACTTTTTCCTTAACTACTTGCACAGGTCCTTTTTTCCCTTTCTATGGTAACTACTCCCTCCGTTTCAATTTATCTTATGTAGTTTGACTCGGCATGGAGTTTAAAAAAAATAATTAGACTTTTGAAATTTGTGGTCTTAAATGCTTAAAAGGTAAAAGCTTTGTGGGGGTGGGACCATAACATTTGTATGGTTATAAGAGCTTCTCATTAAGGGTAAAATTGGTAAAATAAAAAGTTTAAAGCTAAATTGTTTCCAAATATAGAAATGTGTCATTCTTTTTGAAATGGACTAATAAAGAAAGTGTGTCTTATAAATTGAAATGGAGGGATACTACTTTAACAAGTTTGTCCGTTTCTGCTGATTCAAGCCTTACAGAGCACTAGATATCCCGACACCCCGGAAAAAAACCGAGAAAGAAATGCACATCATTAAAAAAATAAAAAAAATAATTCCTAAGGCGCCCACGAAGGT